TTGTTTTTTAATATAAATCTTGCCTGCCTTTCTTTATTCCTTCTGTCTCTTTAAATAGAGTCTTATTACAAAGCTATTAAGCATAACTAGGAGTCTACAGATATAAGAAATCTACTAAACTAAGAATTCTAGTAAAATTAAACTACTGACTAAACTAAGAATTCTACTAAACTAAGAATTCTACTAAACTACGAATGAGTCTGTAACATTACCCCCTCCTCTTTAAAGAGCTTGTCCTCAAGCTCGAAGTCTGGATAAGCATTACGAAAATGTTCAGCATCCTGATCAGCAAGTTCCAACCAAAATAGCTTCTTACATTGATGCCCAATCGAATACAATTCATCACAATTATAACACAATCCCTTTGCCCTTCTCTCTGCCATTTCAGCTCGTGACAACTTCTTTATGAAAGGAGCAGATGAACTTACCAACTTTGGTTCAGTAATACCACCTGGTGCATTGCTGCCCTTTGGAGTTGGAATTGTTGAACTTGTAGTAGTACTGAAATAGCCTTTAGTCCCTTGCCAAGTCTCACTTTGAGAAGATGTCGCCCGCACCAACTTCTGTTTCTTTTCAAAAGCTCGAGCTATATTCATGGCATGAACCAAATCTGGTGGACTACGCATTTCAACATCAAGCCGAATGGAATCGATCAGCACGGCAGTGAAAAGACTAACTTGCTGGTCAACACGAACACACTTACTGGCCCTAGCTAACCGTTCTTGAAATTGGCGCTGATATTCTTCAATTGAGCCTGTTTGCTTAAGGTTAACCAGATCACCTAGTGGATTACTGCCCAGTGGAGGCCCAAACCTGAGAGCACAATATTCTTTGAATTCAGACCAATCAACAGAGGGATACTCTTGTTCTACTTGATGATACCATAACTGTGCCTCACCTAGAAGATGGAATGCTGCCAATTCCACCTTATCTACTTCATTTGTTCTCTGATTGGAGAAGAATTTCTCACAACGGTGTAGCCAAATCAATGGGTCTTCAGATCCGTCAAAAGTAGGAAAATCCAGCTTTGTATACCTTGGTACTACACTATTTCCTGTCAGCTGATTAGGCCGATTCTCTGGTCTGTAGGGTTGGTTGCCTACATTGCTGCTCGCTCCAGCATCAGAATCCTTTCCTTGATTTTTGTTAAACCCAACAATGAACTCCTGCAATTGTAACGATAATTGTTGCAGCTGATTAACCATCCTTGATTCAGATTGTGCCACCGCTTCTGTTATTCGTGCTTCGTTGGCAGCCTGCGCCTCTTGAAGGAGAGCCTGTAACTCTTCACGTTTGCTTGGATCGCCCATAGTGTTTGGCTATGATACCAAGTTGTTATGATCACGCAGAATGGATCTTGTCACAGGGCGATTCACTGGAAAGTCTGTGTTGAACAGATCCTTTCCCTTGTTTCTATTCCGTGAGCGACCTATTTTGATAACAATAAATAAGCTCATTAAAGGGAGCCTATAACCTTAGAACTCATTAGAGAGAGTCCCAGATCTCTTGTTTTTTAATATAAATCTTGCCTGCCTTTCTTTATTCCTTCTGTCTCTTTAAATAGAGTCTTATTACAAAGCTATTAAGCATAACTAGGAGTCTACAGATATAAGAAATCTACTAAACTAAGAATTCTAGTAAAATTAAACTACTGACTAAACTAAGAATTCTACTAAACTACGAATGAGTCTGTAACAGATATTTTACTTATCAAAAAGAAGTTGATATTTTTGTTTTGGTTTATGGTGACACATGTACCACTTGTGTACTTCAGTACAAAGAGAAACACGAAAGAAGCTAATAATCCAGCAGATATTTGGAATTAAGAATGAAGCTGTTGAAAGAGCAGGAATTAGATAGTGGGTTTATCTCATCGTTGATTGGGAAGTTTATAACTGATCAACAAATAGATTTCCCAGTAACGTTTAACAAAGATTTTTGATTATTTTAAGTGCACCATTTTTGTTAGTGGTGCGATTTATATATTCTTATTCATATGTCAACTGTTACAATTTCAAAATAGTTTTGTGTTACTGTGATATCTCAAAACTAAAAGGTTCATGGGTTTTACGGGTTTCCCCACCCTAACTAAAACGCATTGACTAACACATTTGATTCTGAACGTCCATCTTGATTTGGTCATTGAGCCAAACATAGAACCAGACAAATGGAGCAGTCAAATTGATTAAAGTTGTAATAACAAGCATAACACCTGAGATGGACCAAACAATACAATAGCTATGGCAAATGAAATTGGAATGGGCTGACAGAAAAAAGAAAAAAAAGGGTAGCTCGGTGCACGAAGCATCCACATTCACGCAGAATCCGAGGAAGGGCCGCACCCCAAGGGGGATTTCACGGCTCGAACCCGTGGCCTAGAGGTCACGTAGAGACAACTTTACTGTTGCTCCAGGGTTCCCCTTCAATGGACTGACAGAAAGCAGACATTTAATCTGCCCCGGAAAGTTGGCCTGAACTCTATAACACTAGTTTACTATTTAATATATGGGCAAACTCTTATATATTTCTGGCTGCAAGAGCAGTTGTGAGATGCTGATGCATATCATAATGACACAAGAGTTCCTGCCTTAGAGGTTCCTTTTTCTCAGCATCATTTTGTTCGTCTTTGTCGTCATCTGTCTCATCAGATGATAAATAAAGTGGAGACAGTAATTCCCCTTTATCTAGCAAAACAAGGCTTTCCTTGTAAGTACCAAAACAAAAAGAGTACTTGGTGCCAAGAATATCAAGGCGCCATCTTTCTTGCGTCTCAGGATTATATGAAGTTAGTTTCCCTGTTATTTCTGTCAACAATATTTCACTGTTATCACTAATGCCGAGTACCATGCCTGAATGCCCGTCCAAGTGCAAAATTATATTTCTTGCTCCATGACTCAGTGTCTCCATACTGTTTCATTACCCAAATGGAACAACTGCTGCTCCAAATACGTTTATCGTTCTGATATACAGCAAGTGATTTCCTACACTCTGCAGCATCCAGATTCGTAGGTGGTTCATTAACCAAAACTTCTGGTAATGATAATTCCTGAAAAATATCATCAGTCAGATCAAACACCATTATCAAGTTTCTCCCCTCCCGAGTTCTCTTGTATGCGGTCCAGTGGACTTCCCCACGAACAACAGCTTGTGTCTAAAAGTACTTTATAACACCAACATCTGCAATAAAACCATCGAATTCCTTCCAAATTCCCGAACTAAGTGCATATACCTCAACCTTAGGTGGCACCAAGTACCTACCATCACCATGAGCATAAGCCATCGTCACAACCTTGTAATCTCTCGTTTTTATTGCAAAGCCAAACCCAAAGACAAACATACAAGTTCCTATGGCGTCGGAGCAAAGAGGACACATAGGGAGGGTGAGGCATCTGCTTATTCTAGGGTTCCGAAGTACCAAAAGATTTTTCATATCCAAATAAATCATCTGACTAACAGCGGACGCCACTACATATGCCCGCTATCCTATAATAATATCGCACTTTGCCATTTTAAGGGCTCCTATTCTGAATTCAGTTTCATTACCGGCGTATGCATTAGTTAGTTGAATGGAGTATATTTCCTTCCTTTGAGTTTCTGAGAAGTACCTAATGATTTCACGTGTTGGTGCTTTTTGGAGAATGGTTTGTTTGGTGGGAATCCATATGAATTCCGAGCTTGAGATTAGTGAGTTGCATGATCTTGATATGCACCTAAATCGGAGTAGAGATTCAGGTGGGAACCTTGGGAAGATTTGAACCATCAATTCTTCAGGGATATAGTCTGACATTTTTCTTGGGGGTATGAAATTGAAGATCTTATTATTTTTTCAATTCTTTAGGGATATAGTCTGACAATATTTTTTGGGATATGAAATTGAAGATCTTGTTATTTTCTTCCTTACTTTTCTATTGTTTGAGATGAAAGGTTGGCTCAAAAGGAGATTGTAAAATCTTTTTTCTTCATAATTCTTTGTGTTGGGGTTGTGTTGATATTCTTTGATCAACTTGTTATTCATTAAGAGGTTGATCTGACTTTTCTGTCAATTTTACCGATGGTGTAGATGCATTCCATAAAGATACAGAAAACTCAACCAATCATCTACAGTCCAGGGACCCAAATTGATGATTTTGAATTTTTATGGATTAGCTCACAGAAGAGTCCAAGATGGATTTTCCCTAAGGTACAGTTCCATCCAATTGTCTGTGTGGTTCCCTATCTGGAGTATGGATAATATTGTTAATAACCTTTTGATTGACATTCTTTTTGTTTTGCAACAAAATTACAGGATGGTTAGGAAACTGATGAGGATAAGAAGATGCAGCTTTAACTGATACCTTTTAAGAATCTAGGGTAATGTGTGCGGTTGAGGTTCAGAATTCTTGGGTACTTGGAGTTTCAAGAGCAAAAGTCAAGGCTCATTTCATAAGGACACATGTTTCTTTTGCGTGTCACAGAAGAACCAGATGATTGGCTGGAGAAAACTGTCCGCAAACATCTATAGGTAAGTCTTGAGTAGGGCTGTCAAATTTGGCCCAAGCCCAATGACCCGCCCATTTATTGAACTCAATCCGTCTTGACCTAACTCATCTAAAGTTGAGCTGATTTTTAGCCCAATTGATCCAAGAGTAACCTTGCCAAAATATCTTAGAAATAAATTATTTTTTTTGTTTGATATGTTATATATGACCATAAAAAAAAAAAAACTTATTTTGTAATTATACAATTCATGTGAAAACAACACATATTAATTAAAGCTTAGTAAGAGTTGGACAGGTTGGCTATGACCCAAATTTTAGCCCATCTTGACCCAACTCATCTCAGCAAAGTAACCTTTGGGCGGGTCATTGACCCGTCCATTTATTGACTTAACCCATTTTGTCCCGCCCAAAATCGGCCCAACACTCCCATTTGACACCCCTAGTCTTGAGTCTGCTTATCTGTGCTACTGTGATCTTGAATCACTTTGATTATCTGTATGCCCACAGCTAAACAAGCTGACCGCTGATGGACTTGCATGAATATTTTTGTTGTTGGTTTTATCATTTGGTCATAGCATAAAATTAATATTTTTGGTTTTGGTTTATGGAAATTGCTTTAATTTTTTCTGTTGGTTTATGGGGACACCTATAACACTTGGTGTACTTCAGTATCAAAGAGATACACGAATGAAGCTAATAATCTGCTGCCTTGTTCTGTTGCTGCAGATATTTGTAACTAAAATGAAGTTTAAGAAGATTAAAGTTGAAAGCATATTAATTTGGTAGTGTGTCTATCTCATCTTTGATTGAGAAGTTTATTACCAATCAACAAATAGATATCCCATAATGTTTACCATAGAATTTTGATTACTGAACTGTGCCGTTTGTTAGTGGTGTGATTTATGTATTCTTATTCTTGTGTCAGCTGTTACAATTTCAAAATAGTTATGTGTTACCGAAATATCTCAAAGCTAAAAGGTTCAAGTTTACGGCTTTCCCCACCTAAAAGTAAAATGCATTGACTGACACATTTGATTCGAATATTCATCTTGATTTGGTCAATGTAGCCAAACATAAAACCACAAATGGTGTAGCAGTCAAAATTGATTAAAGTTGTAATAACAAGCATAACACCGAGCACATGGTACATAGCTGTGACAGATCAAATTGGGATGGCCTGACAGAAAGCAGATATATAATCTGCCACGGAAGGTCGGCCTGAACTTTATAACATTTGTTCATTATTTAAGATACAGGCGAGCTCTTAGATATTTCCGGCTCCAAGAAAAGCTGTGAGATACTGATGCATAAGATAATGCATCCAGCTTTGAGGAGCATTCTCAGCATCATTTTCTTCATCTTCATCATCATCCGTTGTCTTCTCCGATGATAAATCAAGTGGAGGCAGTACAACCCCTTTATCTAGCAAAACAAGGCTTTCCTGGTAAGTATCAAAATAAAAAGAGTACTCAGTGCCAGGAATACCAAAGCTCTCCTTTTTTTGCGTCTCAGGGTTATATAAAGCCAGCATCCCCATTGATTCAGTCAACAATATTTCACTATTACCACTAATGCCGAGTACCATTAAATGCTCGTGGCCAAGTGCAACGTTATATTCCTTGCTCCATGACTCAGTGTCTCCATATTTTTTCATTACCCAAATGGAACAACTGCTGCTCCAAATACGTGTATCATACTGATACACAGCAAGTGATTCCCTACACTCTGCAGCATTCAGATTCATAGGTATTTCGTTAACCAAAACTTCTGGTAATGATAATTCCTGAAAAATCTCATCATTCAGATCAAACACCATTATCAAGTTCTCCACCCTTATTCCCTCCCCAGTTCTCTTGTATGCAGTCCAGTGGACTTTCCCACAAACAACAGCTTGTGTCCAAAAGTACTCTATAACACCAGTGTCTGGAATAAAACCATCAAATTCCTTCCAAATTCCCGAACTAAGTGCATATACCTCAACCTTAAGTGGCGTTAAATCCTGGTAATCCCCATGAGTATAGGCTATCTTTACAACCTTGTAATCTCTCGTTTTAATTGCAAAGCCAAACCCAAAGACAAACTTATAAGTCCACACATTGTCACAACAACGAGCAGGCGTAGAGAGGGTGAGGCATCTGCTTATTCTAGGGTTCCAAAGTACCAAAAGATTATCATATCCAAATAAATCATTTGACAAACAGACCACACCATTGCATACACCCACGATCCTACAGTAATATCGTACTCTGCCACTAAAAGGGGATCCTAATGTTATTACAGGGTCAACATCTGCTGATGCATCCCTACGTACAATTAAATATTTTTCCTTCCTTTCAATTGTTGAGAAGTACCTCATGATTGTACCTGTAGAGGGTTTTAGGAGAACTCGCAGGGTGTGCAGCCATATGAATTCAGGGCTTGAAATTTGTGAGTTCCATGATTTTGATATGCACCTAAATCGGAGGAGAGATTTGGGAGGAAGCCTTGAGAAGATTTGGACGATCAGTTCTTCAGGGTAATAGTCTGACATTTTTATTGGGATATGAAATTGAAGATTTTGCTTTCTTACTCTTTTCTATCGTTTAAGAAGAAATGTTGGGTGGGGGAGGGGGAGTTCTTGAAAGAGAGACTGCTCGCTTTCTGAAGTTGTTTGATAGTGAAGAGAGCTCCAAAAGCAAGTTGATGGCAAGATGGCAAAAGAAAGCACCATTTTATACAGGGTAAATAGAGCAAAGACAAGAGTTTGTACCAGAAACAATTAATGCATGTTAATCCAGAAAGATAGATTACTTGCTTAAGATCTCCTTTCACATTTGGAAGGTAGGGAATTAAGAAAGGGGATCATTAGTTTGAGCTTGGTTCTGTGAATTGAAGTAGGGTAATAATTGATGTTTCACACTTTTATTGAGCTTCTTAAAAGAAAAAAGAAAGAATCCAATTATTTACCTGCCGATTATCATTTTTCTGTTACTTGACTCAGTTATGGTAAGAAGGTTTGTCATAAGTTGGTAAGTAGGCTGATATAATGATGCGTAGTTGCGTCAATAGGGGTGGGCATAGTTTGGCAAATCCGAAATCCAAACTGAAATTCGAATTTTTTGGATTTTTGGGATTGGATTTGGATTTAATTTTTAAATTTTTTGGATTTCGGATTGGATACCCTTTGCGCGAGTCTCCGTGCTATTGAATCAGAAGCAAAGAAGAGAAATGAAATGGATTTGGTACTTCGGATTTTTAGATATCCGAAAATCCGAAATTTGTACTTTATATTTAGTCCATTATTCATATGGAAATAATAATACTCTCAGAACACTTTCTATTTGGATATGGTTTTACTATTGCTACTTCTTATTGACCATCTTAATGTCTCTGTTGCATTCCTTGATAATAATTTCATTACTTGATACTTTATTTGGATAATTGCAGTGAGAGTGAGGAACTTTTCAGGGAATTTAACATGAGTACTTCGTTTGGATATTCATTTTTGTAAAAAGAAGAAACATCTCAACTTATAAGCTCAAAACCGAAAATCCAAATATGCAAACCGATTAATCCGAAACCGAACTTAAAAAATTCGATTCAATCCGAGTTTATTTGGATTGGATTTGGATTGTCATTTCTTCAATCCGAAAACCAAAAATCCAAACCGAAATTTTCATATCCAATCCGAACTGTCCGAACGTCCACACCTATGCGTCAATAAGATATTACATAGCAAATTTGGATTTTAGGGATGAAATACATATAATTTTATTTAGCTCTTGATAGTTATGTGATTTCACAAAATAGAAGGTAAGTGAATTTGAACTGTTTTCATTTTTAATTTGGGAAAAATGTTTTTCTTGCTTACCTTGTAGTTAAGTACATTTACATTTATGTCATTGTAACTTAGAATGGTAAAGTTGTTGGCGTTGTGTTTGGATCTTGCTCAGTGAATGATAAAATTATATACTTACAACACATGAATCTCAAACAACGGCTATATCAATCCTCATTGACTCTCAATCTCAAACAACGGCTATATGAATCCTCATTGACCCTCACTGACCATATTTCTCCATTTAACTTTGTCCCAGGTCAACATTATACAAAATAAAATAAAAAGTTCTAGAAGTTACCTAAATTTTCTAGGCCGAATAACCAAATACACACCGAGATAGTGTTCCCGACCCCCTAACTCCACGGGGTTTCATACATATACCCTCAACTTGATTAATACAAGTGTTCCAAATGCCTCTAGCCATTGACCAAGCTTATGTGGGGTTGATATGATTGAGATGGACAAAGAGCGTGGTATACACAGGTATGAAGAGAGTGGATTGGTATTTTTTATTTTGAAAAAAGATTAAAGATTTAGGGTGTGTTTGGTATGAAGGAAAATATTTTCCTGAAAATGTTTTCCAATTTTCCCATGTTTAAAGGGCAGCCCGATGAATTAAGCTCCCGCTATGCGCAGGGTCCGGGGAAGGGCCGGACCACAAGGATCTATTGTACGCAGCCTTACCCTGCATTTCTGCAAGAGGTTGTTTCCACCGTGACCTCCTGGTCACATGGCAACAACTTTACCCGTTACGCCAAGGCTCCCATTCCAATTTTTCCATGTTTGGTTGGCTTAAATGTTTTTGAAAACATTTTCCTCATGAACTTATTTTCCTCCAATTGGAGGAAAATGTTTTCCCTATCAAGAGAAGAGAAGGGAAAATATTTTTCAAAACTCTCTTTCAACCTTCCCACCCTATTCCCTATCCCCACCAACCCACCCCACCCCTACCCTTGATAAAAATATTATTAATAGTACTTTCTTTTCATTTATAGATAGATTTTTTTTTATTTCAACATATGAGTATTTTCTTTTTATGATATAAAAAAGTATTTTTTTCATTTCAACAAAAAAAGTACTTTTTTTTCATGATGTAAAAAAAGTATTTTTTTCATTTCAACAAAATGTGTATTTTCTATTCATGATGTAGAAAAAGTATTTTCTTTTATTTCAATAAAATGATTACTTTATTTTCATGTTGTAGAAATATTACTTTCTTTTTCAACCAAAAAAAGAGTATTTTCTTTTTAGTTATGGAGTATAAATCTTTTGCATAAAAAAGTAAAGCAACAGATTAGTTCCTTTGGGTTTGTGTGAATTTTTAGAAGCACAATTAAATTATTGAAGAAAATAGAGTATTGAAAACGTTGGGTAGCAAGGAAACATGGGGACTTGGGGGAGGAGGTGAGGAGAGTAGCATAAAAAAATATTTTCTACTCTCTAACCAAACACTAGAAAATATTTTTCGGAAAAAGTTTTTCACTCATCAACCAAACAAGGGAAAATAAGTGATAAAACTACTTATTTTCCATGAAAACCTTTTCCTTCATACCAAACACACCCTTACCCCTTCCCAAATTTCCCCCAACTCCACTGCCACCACCTCCTCTTCCTCCACCTTCACGGTTTCACCCCCTTCTTCACCCCTCCTCTTCTCCCTTCCCACTAGAGGGGCGAACTTTTCAGTTAAGAATTGTTAGGGGGCCCACCTCTCCAAAATTTCAAGTAATTTTACCTCCCGGAAAAAGCTACAATCATTGGAAAACAAGTCCACGCCGGGAAAATCATTTCTGGTGAATTTCATCTCTTTTCTTTCGTTTTGCTTTCTTAATTAAGGCTTAAAGCTCTCAAATCCCCAAAAATGACATCGAAGAGGAGACTACCGAAAAACCAGCTGCGACCTGCAATGATGATTGATGCAAGTTTCATTAGGAGCTCTCACTGGTGACCTCTTTCTCATCTCCGACCACCCTTTTCCGTTGTTCTCTCTTTCCTCCTCCGCAAAACCACTTTCCAAACTACAAAAATTACCACATCACTTTGGATTTGACTGGCTGGAAATACTCATTGGCAAGCCTCTACATCGCATTTTTTTCCGTTGTCGCTCTGTTTGTCCATGGTTGGCTGTCCCCGTCTCATTGTTGTAGCCTTACTCTGACTTTGGTGTTGCCACAACTGCTGTTTTTACTTTGCAAAAACCCCATTTGGGTTTGACTTCACGGTTTTACTGCCAATTCACGACTCCCAAAATTTCAAGCAACTTTGACCACACTTGTGAAATTCCGAAGTTGCGAGTAGCGACTTCAAAGCTCTTTTTCATGGAGAGGAGTTGGTTGTTGGGTGTTTGCAAGATGGTTGCTGGTGTGTTCTGTAAGATGGAAATGAGGAAAAATTGGTGGTTTGTCATGAAAATGTCCAGAACTTGTGATGGAGAATTTCTTTTGGTGTTACAGTGCATATGATAAGAAAATGGTGCATGACTATTTTTGAGGAGAAGAAAGGCGTGAGATGGTGAAGGTGTTTGTGAGAGGAAAGAGAATGGGCCAAAAGAATATTCTAAAAAAAGTTTTTTGAATAATCTTGTGGAATATTTTTATCTGGCGTGCATAACACATTAACGTGATTGAGGGACACACAGGGACACTATTTTAATCAAGTTGAGGTGTCTGGATAAAACTCCATGAAATTGGGGGTTCGGGAACACAATCCATTGCAACTACAAGTGTCTATTTGGCTATTCGGCCTATTTTATATTTCTATAAAAATCTATATAGGGCTTAAAAAATTGCTAGAAAGAATAAAACCTAAAGTAAATGTACTAACATGAATAAAACATATTCCAAAGTAATTGGTTTTCTTATATACAGTCAATCCTCTATAACAACCTCGTTTGTTCTGATAATTTTTGGCTGCTATAGTGAAGTGTGGTTACAGATGACATATATTATAACATAACACAAAAATCGGTTCCGACAAAAGTTTGGCGTTTATAGTGAATGGCTGTTATATAGAGATGTTATAGAGAGGTCTGATCTTTTTCTTTCATTGTGTCTTTTCCTACGGTAAGTTTGCATGATCCAAGAATTTGTAGATTTTTCGAGATAACCTTCTAGTTTCTTCCATGTGATTTTAACTCTACCTCGTCCCTCCTTTTAACACTTTCCATCACTATAGTTTCATACCTAGGGACCAATGCATCCGGTGGTCGATTCAAGTCATGATCAAACCATCTCAAAAGGCTCTTGTTTTACCCTCAATATGTGCTACTTACATCTTTTGGCGAATTTTGGTCATTTTTATTCTTGTCTAATCTCGTATGATCAGACATCCATTTTAGCATCTGCATCTCTGCGACAATCATCTTGTGGATGTGATGGACTTTAACAACCTAACATTCACTCTCATACGACATTGGTTGTCGTATAACTGTTCTATTAAACTTACCTTTCATTTTGGCATTCTTTTATCACATAACACTCCAGTAAAACATCTCTATTTAACCATTCGATTTTAATTCTCTGTGTAAAATCTTCATCTGTTATTCTGCTCTCCTAGAACGACAAGCCTAGATATCTGAATTGTTTACATTTAGGCACCACAATTCCGTCTAATCTCAGCTCAATTTCACTCTTATTATGCTGACTAAACTTATAGTGCATATATCCGGTCTTCTACTTATTCTAAAGCCCCTACTCTTTAGAGTACTTCTC